ACAGACTAAAAATTTATATGCCATTAGATTCTAATGAACACCAAACATTTGTATTTCTCAGATTCTCAACTGTATACCTACTTTTGCACCCCCCCTGTATATATTTTAATGATTGATGAATACACTTTCTTAGGATTGTTATTTCAGAACAAACAAAATAAAGTTCAGTATTTGTTAAGATGATATTAAAATCCAAAAGTTGTCTTTATACAGTAAGTTCTTGAAATGCAAAAGTACAGTACAGTATATTCATCTTCTAACATTAATCTGAATAAAGTAAAACATCAATAAACTATAAAAATAAGTTAATATCATAACAAAATAGTTCTGTAATTGATGTAGTAACTTGCTACAGGTTTACAGGTTCTAACTTCTTCAATTGTGGAACAATTTTGTCATAATATGAGCTTGTTTTTATAGTTTATATTGATCTTTAGAATTGAAGGTAATGAAGCTATATTATCTGATAAAGCAGTAAAATTGTTAGATGAGATTAATAATAATATCAAAATAATAATAATAATAATAATAANTTGTTTTTAAAAAATAATTTTTAAAAACAAATGTTTTCAGCCTCTTTATTAGCCCTGATCAAGTATACAAGCAAAAAAGAATTTGAGAGTTTCCAAAAAATTTAATAGAAATTCTAACATAGCTAATGCTTTTGAAGTGTTCCATACATTTGGAAATTTAAATTGGCAGACATCCAACAAAATCTGAATATAACTCTAAAGTATTCAAAAAATTTCATATAACTTAAAATTGAAAAACTTAATCAAATAATAAAAAAAAACGATATATAAAATGAATATATTACAATACATTCACTTCTTTATCGCTACATTTTATTTATGTTTAGTAAGGCTTGCCAGACTTGTGGAAGACTAAATTTGTCTATATTATTAATGCAGCCTCCTATTTGTTCTTGCTTGTAAATTTCTATGGCCTCTGATGATTTGAGTTTAGATTTGTTAAAAATTATTTTTAAAAGTTTAGCTTCACTCTGGTTTGGTATTACACCTATTTCATAGGCATACTGGGCCAAAGTTGTTGTGTACTTCTTTTTTCAATATCATACATGTGCTCATTAATTCTAAATATTAGAGACCTACATGTAGCTTCAATTAAGGCCACATGGGTAATAAATCTGCTGTCAGTTATCAATATTTTATAAACTCCAGGGGCTCTCAGACTGCTTCTTGTATCTTTTCCATGTGTTAAAAGTTTGAATACAGTAAGCCACTAAATGTAAGTTATTTTATAGCATATATCTTTGGAAATTTTAGAGTAGATGTGCATTTTTTGCTCAAATTGTAACATAATAGTAACCTGCCTGGTATCCTTATCACAATCAACTTTCACCATCCTTCCTCTATATCATGTAATACATTGAAAATCATATCTGGATCATATTCATGTTTTAAAAAAATAGTTGTGGTAAGAAGTATTCAAGCACTACGTAAATTATTAGTTATCTCATTTCCAGCTTCTGTAAATATTTTTGATAAATATAAAAAAAAAAAAAATATTAATTATAAATACTTTTATTAAACAAAAAATAATACAATAACAAAATTATATTCATTATAATAAATACTCACACCATGACACAAAAACCATATTATAATGAATATAATATGAAATTGATATTACCAGTAGATATTTAATGATAAATCAAAAAAATTAAAAGTTTTTTAATATTTTATACAATATGTAATCAATAATTATATTTTAAAATATATTTAGCTGACTTTTAAAATATGTTTGAATCACCTTCCTTTATAAATATTTACTCCAAATAAAGCAAGTTTGATATATTTTGAAATATTTTTGGAGTTTAGTGCTAATAATTATTATATTTATTAAATTACATTCATAAATGATTTTATAGTTTTATGTATAAAAAGTAATATTTGTTAAAGAATCCAAAAACTTATAATAATAAAAACTTTATTACATTAATAACTTTTTAAGTAATTTTGTTGTATTTTCATTTAATCAATTCAGAAAACAATATTATAAATCAGAAAGAAAGGAAAGCTAAAATATTTGTCTAATTTTGAAAATAAAAAGTTTTATATTAGATGCCAAACGATTACCAGACTAAATTGGGCTACATTCCCACTACTAATAAATACTGAGTAATTTGATACTAGTTATTCCCAAGTAATTTGACTACACTCCTGCTACTAATAAATAGTAGCAGGAAATTGGAAATTTAAATTGGCAGATATCCAACAAAATCTGAATATAACTCTAAAGTATTCAAAAAATTTCATATAACTTAAAATTCTCCTCCTGCTCCTAATAAATAGTAGTCTTACACTCCTGCTACTAATAAATAGTAGCAGGAATGTAGCCTGATTTAATATCATAATTGTTTGATTTTGATATGACCACTGGGTTTTAAGACATTTTTATATTTATATTAGATGATTCATTTTTCATAAATTGTCTTCATAAAATCTAGAATTTAGACTTTCTATCATTTTTATAGTAGCCAGTAGTTCTGTGGGAGCATGCCAGTTTTTTTCAGGTGGTTGGTGTTTAAAATCTCATTGGTATCATTGTGTTATATTTGTTTTTTTTTTTATAAAACATTTTTATTACAGAAGTTTTGATATAATTAAAGTTCAAATCAAATTCCTAAAAGATTTCTTTAGGAATTTTGATAAAATTAACGAATACTCCAAGAGACATACAAGGAGATGGCATGATGATGGAATCACCAATTTTGATCAAACTTGGTAAGAATATAGTGCAGCCCCAATGATTGACATATGTTAAACAGTAAGGTGCACTACTCAAAATTAAACAGGAAAATTGCACAATCACTTAAAACCTTTAGATTTTACTTTCTTGAAACCATGTCGGTGATTATTTTTGTTGTTTTTGAACACTATATAGTTCATACACACAACACAAGGCAATCTTCATTGTAANATTAAAAATTGATCATTAATTAAGAAAAATTATATAGATACATGTATCAACTAAAAATTGAATAAATTCACAATAAAGATTGCCTTGTGTTGTGTGTATGAACTGTATAGTGTTCAAAAACTACAAAAATAAAACCTTTAGAATTTCTATCATTTTTATAGTAGCCAGTAGCTCTGTGGGAGAATGCCAGTTTTTAATCAGGTGGTTGGTGTTTGAAATCTTATTGGTATCAATGTGTTATATTTGTTTTTTTTTTACAAAACAATATATAAAATAATCATTTTAAGATCAGCTCCTTTTTTAGAAAAAAGAAAATTTAATTTATTATACAGAATGAAAACTACTGATAAGAAAGTTTTGTAAGTACAGTAGAGCATCGATTATCCAAATACTGATCAACTGAAACATCGGTTAACCAAAAGCATTCGTCACCAAATTCAAATTTCTGCTAGTGCTGTGGTGCTGCAATATTTGGCTATGTCTTGTGCTACTCCAATATTATTTTTATTGGTGTGCATATTTTAGTTGGCAGCACTGGTGCGACCATGAGAGGGTACTTAAGGATGCAACAAAGCTCTCTTTTCCCAATTGTGAGTGGCGAGTTTTGCTTGTTTTGTGTGGTGTTTTTCTGAGGACTGTGTGTTGGGACATGTGTCGTGCTGAATTAGAACATTTTGATACTAGATTAACTTCCGAAATATAATTTTATTTTGTTTTTATAATTTTCAATATATTTATTTTGTTTGTGCAAAATAAAGAAATAATTTTTTTTTATTCCAATGAAACTGTGTTTTTTTATTTCCTTTTACTTTTCATAGACACAATGTAGTGACACTTTTTAAACACTTGGCAGAAAAAAAAAAGAAATAATTTTTAACAATACAATAACCACGATTATTATTTTAAAAAAATGTTTGTTAGGCTTAACATTGATGAAAATTCAATGCAAAGCAACACGCAATGGAGAAAAATTTCAACATGGGATAGGTTAATATATTTTTTTCCAGTCCCAAATTGTTTCAGATAATCGAAGCTCTACTGTAATTTCATAATATACTTATTAAAATGATATTACAGAGGAACTCAACAGTCAGGTGTTTTCTAGCATCTGCAGAGTTATGTATAACCTCTTATTAAGAACTTTATGGACTTTAGTATCCCTAGTTCCCTACTGGCACAACAAACAGACTCAGTCAGATTGCAGTAGAACACTTCACAAATTGTATCATCAACTTGTTCGGACACTTTCTTATCATGTATTTTTCCTTACATGTGAGCTAGTTTCAAGCAGTCTTATGCCACACTATTATCGCATGCCTCTCTGGTGGTTCTTATTGGTATTTTTATTAGAATTTTCTTTGCACTTTCATTGGAAACTTAAATCTGCCAGTAACAAAATTTTACTTTCTGTTACATGCAGAAATTTTGACTGTCAGCTATGCAGAAGAATAGCAGTGCCATCTGCTGCTGAAGTGTCACCATAGAAACTTGTAAAGGTTCTTTTTGCTGTAAACCAATTTTTTGATCAATGTATGCACTGACTTATAAGCCTTCTTTATTAGTAGTTTTTACCCAAACACCCTGTATATCATGAATATGTATTCAATTATATTTTAAAACCCACAATATAATTATTTTTTAAATTTATGTTTAAAGAAAGTCTTTTATAGTATTCAAAAACAACTCACATTTCTGTATAATCAAATTTATTATTATTATTAGAAGTACCTGTAAAATGAAAAAAAAATTAAATAATAGAGCAACATTATTATTTCTATGTAATTTTAAATAAACAGCATATTAATACACAAAAGTTAATTTAAAAATATGAAATTTGTAGCCATATTAATTATGTTCAATCAATATTTGATGAAACGAATTAATAATTACAATATTTGGAAGTAAATATGGAAACAATATGGAATATTTGTAATAACTTACAAATATAATTTAGATATAATTTTAAAGTTAATTATAAATTACAGCTTTAAAATGTTTTAATCCTTTTATTTATTAAATTTAAATTATTTTCAAACAGAAATATAATATAAATTTTACATGACATCTATATGATCATAAACCCTACTACCACTGAAATATAAAGAATACAACAAAGTTTACTATCAAATGAGTGGTTAAATTAGACTACACAACTAATAATCTAGTGAAGTAAAAACTGATGGTCTCAGATAAGACTCTTAAGTTTGGTTTTATATTGTAAATTCATGTTTATCAATACTGTTTTTATTCTAATAAACAGTGTGCTATCTAAAACATTTCTCAGCTTGCAACTGTGCTGTTTATTACTTGACTTACTATTAGAGGTCATCTATTATTTCTATTCTTTGAGAATTGAGTGTTATTATTATTCGAGGGTAACTATTAATGGAATAAATGGTAACTTTTTTCACTTTATTATTATTTGAGCAATAATGCAACCCTAAACAGACCTATATTTTATTTTAATATATAGTAAGGGTGACAATGCTGAATAGAATGTGCAATTTTTCAGTTTAAATAAGCCTTATCTTTATCCTATAGACAGTACACTTAGTATTAGAAGGTGGTGTTTATAACTTTTTTCATCTTGCAGCTGCATTGTTTATTACAATAACTACAGTATTCTGTTCTGTTTGAATAAACTAATATTCCATAGTTAACATTTCATAAATAATAAGCAACATGAAAGATATATGAAATTATATAAAAATTTTCACATTTAAAATATATATTAATATAAAGAAATCAATAAATATATAAACTAACTAACCAGACTGAGTATTTGAATGTAATGCTTCTTTCATGCTATCAGTGATAATGTTTTCAAAATATGATGATTTATAAAATATCAATTCTATTACTTTTTCAAGAAAAGTTATCATTTTATGATGATACTGCAAACATTTTAAGTTTTTTAACCAAATATTAACTTCCCAAGATAATTCTTCATGCAGCCCAAACCTAGATAGAAACTAATAAAAAATAATATTAAGTACAGGTATATATGAAAGTTATAATGTTAATATTTTAAATTTTTAAAGCACTAATAATAATAATCTAATAACATACCTGTTTTAGAATCTCTGTACTGAATGCAACAAGACTTCTATCATTTATTTTTAAACAAGCTTCAAGTATAAATGTAACAGGAAATTCTTCTACCTAAAAATAAATATTAGATTTTAAAAATTAGAGTTTTTAATTTCAATTTAACTACATAATTGACAAGACTATGTCTTGTTTATAAAATCGTACTGCCTGCTGGGTAGAGATATGAAGGAGTACATGCCAACAGTTGCAATTTGGCACAGAGTATTAGGTGCTCAAATGATGTGAACATAAAAAAAACCATCCTTGTAGGTTCTCAGGGGACCAAGAACCAGGTCAAAATAAAATTCAAAACAGTGACACACTCTACAAACAGGCAATAGTGTGAGATTTGTGCATGTGTTACTTGTTGAAAAGTTGGAAATGCAAATGTTGTGAAACCAAATTTTGACATATGAATCTTTGAAAAAAACCCATTTACCTGTCCTGTGTTATTCCTGATATATCTCTGGTTGCAACGTGCTGACCTTGACCAGTTGACCCGAGATATCTCGTTTCAGCATTGGAACTTTTTTTCAAAGTAGATGGCACTAGTTATAATTTCATATTAAAACTAACTTCCAAAATATAATTTGTTTTTTTCTACATTTATTAATAATTGTTTGTGCAAAATAAAAAAATAGTTTCGGATGATACGATAGCAAGGATTATTTTTTATAAAAATGGGAAATTTTCATTAGGCATTGACAAAAATTCAACTTGCGGTAACATGTAACGTTGAAAAATTTCAAAATTGGATAGGTTAATTTCACCAAAATTGCATCATGGATGACCTCATGATTGTGGCCGGCAAAGTTTGAAAGATCGCTCTCAAAACCAGTGATACCAAAGAAGATTGGAGAATGAGAACAAGACCTCCTTGAGCGTCAAAGAGATTCTGCTTAGCAGTAAGTCTCTGAGACATAATCTTGTCCCAAATATGGCCTTGCCGTTTTACTTGTTTAAAATAATTTTTTAAAAGAAATTATTTAATATGAATATTGACACTGGCTGAGTGAGTAAATGAGTGTGCTTGTTTGCATAATAAATTTCCAAATTTTTAAGAACTTTCTAAATTATTGTCTAAGAATTGTTATATATTATATTTATATGTTTTAAAAGTGTAAAAGTAATTTAATGTTTAAACATTAAATTACTTTCATATTATGATATAATAATAATAATATTATGAAATAAATATTTATAAAATCTAATCTATAAAAAATTTATAGATTATAAAATATATGAATTTATTTTACATCTATATTTTTCTAAATAAATATATTATATTTCTATAGCATTGAAATGTATATAAACTTTATATAAATATAAAAAACAACAAAAATAATAATCTCACCTCATTCAAATTTATGTAAGTCAAAAGCTTTAAAATATCAATCTCAATTAGTGTAGCATCATCTTTTAAAACAGAAGAACATTTTTTTATTTCTAAAAGTAGTGTCCTTATCCTTAGTGGATTATTTTTAAATGCATGTGGATACAGTTCACCATACAATCCCACTATTTCAATTATTTTCTTAAAATGTTGACAAATTGTATAAGATGGAAGAACTATAAATAAAATATATAAGTAAGTAAACAATTTAATAAATATATTATTTCTGGCAGAGTAATAATGCTTTATATATTAATTTTAAATCAGGAGTCACAGCAGTGACTCCCCACCAAGTAAAAAAGTCACTGGTTGACTAAACACAGGAATCAGAGTTGCTGATTTTTGGGGATTGATTTCTCTGTCCCCTTAAACACCTTAAGTAATTCCAAATATCTTGTTCGAAAGAAAATTGTTTTCTTAGGTAGTGTGCAAAATTTCAAGATTTGCTATAAAATGGTTGCCAAAATATAAGCAATTGAAAATTGCAAAAATGCTGTATTTTCTTCTTCATCCAGCATGGCAGATGCTTGCAGAGAAAAATCTACCAGGTCTAGAAAGCTCAAATTCTAAACTTAAGCCTTTCTTGTTATCAGTGAAGTGCTCACAAAACTTTCCATAGAGCTAATTCAGTTTTACAGCTTAATTTTATGTTTATAAAGATAAAATTGCATCAAAACAAATTAATTTTATTCAAAATATTACTCAGAATAACAAAAGCTAAAATTTATGCAAATTAAAACTTTTTATAATAATTTTTATAAATGGCATATCAAAACTGTTGGTCAGCAATGACCGAAATTAATTTTAAAAGCATTTGGTTGGCGGTGCATTTGTCAGCAATAAACTCACTAACCAGACTGAGTATTTGAATGTAATGCTTCTTTCATGCTATCAGTGATAATGTTTTCAAAATATGATGATTTATAAAATATCAATTCTATTACTTTTTCAAGAAAAGTTATCATTTTATGATGATACTGCAAACATTTTAAGTTTTTTAACCAAATATTAACTTCCCAAGATAATTCTTCATGCAGCCCAAACCTAGATAGAAACTAATAAAAAATAATATTAAGTACAGGTATATATGAAAGTTATAATGTTAATATTTTAAATTTTTAAAGCACTAATAATAATAATCTAATAACATACCTGTTTTAGAATCTCTGTACTGAATGCAACAAGACTTCTATCATTTATTTTTAAACAAGCTTCAAGTATAAATGTAACAGGAAATTCTTCTACCTAAAAATAAATATTAGATTTTAAAAATTAGAGTTTTTAATTTCAATTTAACTACATAATTGACAAGACTATGTCTTGTTTATAAAATCGTACTGCCTGCTGGGTAGAGATATGAAGGAGTACATGCCAACAGTTGCAATTTGGCACAGAGTATTAGGTGCTCAAATGATGTGAACATAAAAAAAACCATCCTTGTAGGTTCTCAGGGGACCAAGAACCAGGTCAAAATAAAATTCAAAACAGTGACACACTCTACAAACAGGCAATAGTGTGAGATTTGTGCATGTGTTACTTGTTGGAAAGTTGGAAATGCAAATGTTGTGAAACCAAATTTTGACATATGAATCTTTGAAAAAAACCCATTTACCTGTCCTGTGTTATTCCTGACATATCTCTGGTTGCAACGTGCTGACCTTGACCAGTTGACCCGAGATATCTCGTTTCAGCATTGGAACTTTTTTTCAAAGTAGATGGCACTAGTTATAATTTCATATTAAAACTAACTTCCAAAATATAATTTGTTTTTTTCTACATTTATTAATAATTGTTTGTGCAAAATAAAAAAATAGTTTCGGATGATACGATAGCAAGGATTATTTTTTATAAAAATGGGAAATTTTCATTAGGCATTGACAAAAATTCAACTTGCGGTAACATGTAACGTTGAAAAATTTCAAAATTGGATAGGTTAATTTCACCAAAATTGCATCATGGATGACCTCATGATTGTGGCCGGCAAAGTTTGAAAGATCGCTCTCAAAACCAGTGATACCAAAGAAGATTGGAGAATGAGAACAAGACCTCCTTGAGCGTCAAAGAGATTCTGCTTAGCAGTAAGTCTCTGAGACATAATCTTGTCCCAAATATGGCCTTGCCGTTTTACTTGTTTAATTTACGATCACCATCACATTTCGGACAATCTGCATCTGCAGGTTGCATACCAAACTTTATGGCAAACATACCAACTGATGAAATTCTCTTGTCAAAATCAAATTCATGACATTCTGATACTAAAAAATGAAAAAAATCTCTTGAAATACACTTTTGCCAAGAAAATTGTTGATGTTTTCAAAACTCCGCCATTACAACAATAAACGACAAAATATCAAATGTAAACTTTTGAACAAAATGATTCGCACAACAATATATAACTTTTTGAACCTGATTAATTAAATTACTCTTAACAAAGTTATAAAATGTTAGGAAATTAACCTACAACCGAAACGAGTTTAGAAATCTATAAACTAAAGACAGCGACACCTAGATTAACTTTCAAAGCACGCGTGTTGTCGAGATTCCGGAAGTGCCGCCATAGGGCTATCTAGATGCACTTCTTCCAAAGAAAAGTAAATAAAAAGTAAAAAATGAATGATTTCGATTATAAAAAAAGTGAATTGAACAATTTTTCCCTTTTTTCGCTCTGTAAGTAGTAAGAGGGCATTCTTCCATACATGTTTTCCAGCAAACGTCTAGACTAGGGTTGTCCAACTTTTTTTCTTAATGGGCCAAATTAGAAATTTACGTATATTTAGCGGGCCACAAAAGTACCTTATATAAATAAATATATATTTTTTTAAAGTTCAAAATGTGAATATAAACTTTTAATAACAAATATTTACAATTACAAAAATACTGTATTATTTATTGACAGTAAAAAAAA